TGGCCCTCACTCTCAGAACTGAGCTCCGTTGCTAAGACCTATTGCCCCGAAATTTGAGCTCCTTTATGAGCTTCAGGATTCATGTTCCCCAACCTACTTACATGTTCCAAGGGTTGCAGGGGGCCCTTTACCTTTCTTGGCCAAGGGTCAGACCCACAGCTCCCTGTGCATTAGTCAGTGGGATGGGGGTGTTCATGGGGTACCTGCAGCCCGCCTGACAGCAGAGGTGCCATTGGGGGGCTGCCTGTACAGTGCAGCAGTCCTCCCCACTGAGGCTGGGGGCTGGGGGCTGGGGGAAGGTGCAGCACGGTGCCACGAACAGCAGCAGTGGAAGCTGCCTGAGCCAGTCTGGCGACAGCCCGGGGAGCCAGGGGCTGCTGCCTTATCACCACCTACTGTCTGCCCCACACTTGTAGCCCAGCCAGAACCCAGAAGGCTGCTCGGCTCAAGTCCGTGTCTAAGTGTCATGGCCCTTCAATGTTCCGGAGTCTTACAACATTTACATAGTAGGAAGAAGATAGAAATCTCACTGACATTTATGTGGAACTCAGAGGACCATCAGCATCTCAGTGTATGCCCAGTGGTGCGTATGCACAGCATTTAGAAAGCAGCTCACCAAGGTGGAGGGCGTAATCAGTGCCCGTGTCTTCATCGTCCCCGGGAAAGAAAGGAAATTACAGCAGAATGCATCATGTCAGGAGCACGCCATGCTGTCCATATGAAAAATACCCATCTGTGTTACCTAGGGCTTGGCAAGAATAACCACTCAACATCCACCTGCAACCTGAGTTCAGTGTGGCATCCGTGGTGTCTCATCAGTTGCTGTAATGGGGTCTTACTGTATTACACCTATTTCATATCTTACTAATATGAAGATAACTATCAGAATCATATTACTAACTATCATAGTCCTACCCCACCTTCCCTTGAGCAACCTTCTGATAAGGGAGCTTCTCATATGGCCTTTGCTCAGGGACAGGGTGCTCTGGGCATTGGAAAAGAGTGCTGAGGGGGAGGACATCTAGCAAGAGATAGAAAATGATTCTGTATCGAAAGACAGTTCAGTGTAGAAGACCATTTTGTGTTACCCTCAGCCTGTCAATAGTGATGCTGTCAGCTAGGAATGCCTGGGGCACTATCCTGACCCTATCACCTGGCATAAATTACAATCAGAAAAGCCTGTAGTCAGACACCTACACTACAGCATCCTAAATACACAAAGGACATGTCATATCCGTGATTAAAAAGATACACTAACATAAGATATCATGTCTCCCCAATCTATGATCTGTAGATCTGATTCACTTCCAACATAAATCAGAGTATTTTTAAAGAAGCCTCATAAGCTGATTCTACCATGTATATGGAGGAGCAGAGGCCAAAGAACAGCCAGGGCCTCCTGAAGAAGAAAAGGGCAACCCTCACCCCTCTAGCTTCTAGTGTCTTCTAAAGTCTGTGCAGTTAAGATGGGGTAGGTCAAAACCCAGACAAAAAGCAGGAGCAGAGCAGGGAACCCTGCAGAGGGACAACGGGTGCTTGGAGGAGACTTCCCTTGGCAGAGCAGGCCCTACAAGTGCGTGGGCGAGAGGGGTGGCCTGGTGGTTTCACTGGGAACACAGAAGACCCATGAAGAAAGTGCGGTTGGATAGGTATATGCGAGAATATACACCGAAGTCAGCTCTCAGGCATCAGGGTCTTGCAGTCAAGGACGCACTTTCCGGCTTTGCTCTCGTACGGGCCGGGTACCAAGACCTCGGAACAGGGAGAGCCTTTTGAAGTAAGATGGGCAAAGGTGAAAAAGCTGATAAACTTGATTAATTAATGATAAGGTTGACTTATTATTGATAAAATTGACTGTTTGATTAAGGTTTATAAAAAAACTTATGAACATAGCAATAATCACAAACTTTAAGGTATTTGCCACACATAGAACAGAAAGTGTGTGTATGAGAATATATAAATAAAACATGAATCAAATGGGTAAAAACCATGACTAGATCTCACAAAGAGAAAGCAAGCCAAGCCACAAAAATACTTTGTTTAGTGACAGCTGCCCAGAAAGTAAAACCACAAAAGCCAACGGCGCAATGATTATCATAAAATTCAAGATGCCGCCTTGTGGGGAGAGGGTGAGCTTTTAGTGAGTCACGCACAGAGGTCCTTGGAGATTCTGGCGTTTTCCTCTGTGTGAAGCTCAGTGCTTGCTATGTACATGCTTGTTTTATTGTTTGCCAACTGTTATGGACACTTGCTCATAAAGCAAGAATAAGACAGTGATGTGCATTAGCCGAGAAACCTCTGCCCTTTTAGGAGCACTCCAGATCATTCAGAGACCGTTCCTCTGCCTTCTGCCTGTCAAGATCTCTGACCTAAGGCATAGGTTTGCTTGTAAGACCTACAGGAATGATGCTCATGGGCTCCTCTGCAGCACAGTGGGCCAGCTCGGCCTGGTGGGGGGAGAGCTCAGCTCTGCCAGCTTACTTAGGATGCCGTCCCTGCCAGCCACAGATGTGCGTAGTTCGTCCCCATCTTCTGAGACAGCTGCAGCTGTCTCAGTTCTGAGGCTGCAGGCTGCTGCTCAGTGTGGAGTTAGGGTCCTGCTCTGCTTATGTAGCTGGGAGCACAGCCTGTAGCCTGCTTGGGAGGTACTGGAAGGCTGCGTGTGGCATCTGTGTGGATTTCCCGACTAGACTGTAGGGCAGGCATGCCGGTTTCCCTTCAGGGGCCTCAAGAGACACCTGGGACAGATGTGCCCGTCGGTTCTCTAAAGCAGCTGTTCATATGGAACTGCTCTTGCTGGGGGCTGATTGCACTAGTCCCGTGGCCCCTCAGGAGACACGGGCGGCAGCCTGTGACAGCGCATCCCCCGTACCCTCCCACCAGCAGCCAGTGCTGGGGTGGCTCTGCTGTTCCTTCCTTCCTTACCTTCCCAGACTCTGGACCCTGCAGCACCCTGGGGCCCTGGGGCGGCATGTCCACCCTCTTCCCTTTCCCACCTGCATGCACTGCACAGGTGACCTCACAGCCCACGCTTCACTTGACATCCGTACGCAGGCCACTCAAGAAGTAATGTCCCCATCCAGAGTCAGCCCCGTGAACCTCCCACTGGTATAACCAGCAGGCTGCTCACCTCCCACGGGGATCCCCTCCATAGGCCTCTCACCTCTGACACATCTGCACCCACACCGCTGCTCTTTAAGCAGAAGCCAGGGCCTTCTAGAATCTTCCCCATCCTAGTAAGTGCCAGTGACCATCTGGATGTTTGACCTGGCCTTCTCCTTCCTCTCATGGCTGACATCCAATTCCTTAGCTGATTAGATGACCCCCTGCTTTAAAATGAATCCCAGATTTCTCCTTTTTCTCCAACTACCATGTAGTCTCTCAGCTCAGCCAAACAGAACTTTTTACAACATACATTAGAATACGTCACTTTTTTTTTGCTTAAACCCCCCAGTGTGTTCCTGGCTAGGTCAGAGTAAAAGTCAAAGACCTTAAAATAATGTTAGGACCGTTTTATCTGGCATTTTATTATTAAGCTGCCTGCATGGCTTCCCTCAGGCATCGCAGGCAGGCTCATGCCTCAGGACCTTCGCACCTGCCACGACCTTTCCTGGGTGCTGTTCCTCTGGCAGCAGTGTGGCCAGCATCTGCACATCCCTGGAGTTGCCCCAGACTACCCCACTTAAAACTGTGCCTTTTCCCTCTCCATAGCTTGTGTTTCTCCACAACACCTACTACTCCCTCCCCATTTATATGTTTTATGTGTATTTGTCTCCCTCCTCTGAGAGTCCTCTTTCTGTTCTCCATCTTTCTGTTGCTGCTGTGACAAGTCATCGCAAGCTTCGCAGTTTTAAGCAGCACACTGATAATGACTCTTATTTTGGTAATCTTTTTACAATATGTACATATATCAAGTCATCATGTTGTAGCCTTAAACTTACACTATGTTACATGTCAATTACATGCCAATAAAATGGAAAAAAATTAAAAATAAAACAGTGCCTTTACCTTACAGAGGTCAGAGTACAGTGGGTGTGTTGACTTCTCTGCTGTGGGTCTCACAAGGCCAGAGCCAGCGTTGGCAGGGCTGAATTCCTTTCTGGAGGCTCTAGGGGTGAACCCAGTTCCCGCTTCATTCCCGTTGCCGGCAGGATGCGGTGCTTTGTGGCCATAGGAAGGGTGGAGGGCTCTGTTCCCTGCCAGCTGTCCCCTGGGAGGGGCTGGTGGGCGGGGTGCCTCTGCCTTTCAGAGGCTGCCCACACACCTGGGCTCGCCTCCCTTCCCCACCTTCAAAGGAGTCCTTTCCTCCTGCCTCACATCTCCCTGATCTGTGTCTCTGACTGGCTCCAGCTGGAGAAAGGTCTCTGTTTTTAAGGGCTCAAGTGATTATACTGGGCCCACTGGGATAATACAGGATAATCTCCTGATTTTAAGGCCTGTAGCCTTAACTCCATGTGCACAGTGCCTTTTGCCATGTAAGGTGACATTCACAGGTGTGCCATCACCAGGGGGTGAAGGTCCTGCCTGTCATGTCACACTCCTACCAGGACAGTGTGGGACAACAGGACAATAAGTGCTGGTTGCAAAGTGGGAACTTAACTGTAGCTGATGTGATCAGACACGGCTCCTAGTACTGTGTGCATTATGTCGTTACGGAGCTCATGTCCTGGACAGCAGCCCTAAGAAGCAGGTGCTGTCGCCACCCCACTCCACAGCTGGAGGAACTGAGTGAGCATAGGGACTCAGTGCTCCATGATGAAAATACATTCTAGGAAGCCGCAGGCCTTGGTTTTCTGAGCACTTGACCTTTAGAAATGAGAAGGACCTGAACCGTGGTGCTGTCTCCCCTGGCCTGACCGCCCTATGCATTCTTCAGTTCACTGAGTGTTGACTTCCTAATTCTCTCACCTCTCTTGCTGCTTTTATTAACATCTCTGGTTGTGCCAGGCTGCAAACAACTCAATGCTTACACCCCTTTTTGTCCCCCGCCCCCTGTGTAGATGCATACCCAAACTCTGAAGTTGTCTATGTCTGGACCAACGGTACCACCAAGTCAGTGGTGGTGGCAGAAGATGGCTCCAGGCTAAACCAGTACCACCTGATGGGACAGACAGTGGGCACCGAGAACATCAGCACCAGCACAGGTGAGACCCCGAGGGCAGAACACACTGGCCTGGGGGAGCCCCGTGCTCTGACTGCAAGCTGAGGGGAAGGCCACCTGAGCACACCCTGTCCCATCCACCTGAGTGCCCCTTGGCAATCTGGGGCCTGGCTGCTGTGCATACGGAGGCACCAGCTGCAGTGGCGGATGGCATTAAGGACCACGTGAGGCATTAATCTGAGGTGCATTTGCCCCAGTGATCTCTGGCCCTTCCCAGAGGCAGCGTGGACCTGTTTATATAATACAGATCCTGCCCTGAGCACTGAGACACTCAGGCACAGCCTGCGGGAAAGGTACATGGCCTCCAGCAAATACTCCCATTTGCTTGCTCCCCTACCTTCCGCTTTGAGGATTTCAGAGATTTCCCTGGGGTTGAATTTTGGAAAGCACAACCAAGCAGCCTGTAAATAGCTGAGACCTTACCAAGAAGAAAGCAGGTGCTCTCCCTCCCACTCGCTCAGCGCTGGTCTGAGCCCCATGGGGTGGTACGAGCCTGCCTTCCTCTGATACAAATTGGGTAGGGTGTCCAAAGGTACAGAATGATCTGCTTCCCGCACCTGTAAAGTGTGTGGTGAGATGGCCACTGGAGGTCCAGCTCTAGCAGTCACAGGCAGGAGGCCTGGCTGCGAGTGGGTGAGGGGCTCCCCTGGCCTCCAGAGGCCCCCTGTGGCAGAGGAGAAAAGCCTCATAGAGATACAGTGATCCCTCATTCCAGCATGAGTTCTAACCCCCAAAAGACACCCTGGTCAGCATCACCACCACCACGAAGGGCTGGCAAGAAGCACAGGGAGATTGAGTGCATACCTCCCCTGTGTACAGACGCCCATGCGGGCCCTCCGGCCAAGTGCTGGGCATCCTGGGGAGAGGGAGAGCCTGATAGCACTGGAGGCTGGCAGCTTCCCTGGGTGGTTATAATGTTCCAGGGAAAGGAGGGGGAAGCAGCCTGATTTCATGGAAGACATCTGGGATGAAGACTAGCAATGCTGTCGCAGGGGCTCCGTGTGGAATGGCTTCACACAGTTCCATCACAGTTTACAAGCAGGGCTTCTGCTCCTGTTTGCATTCCTAAAAGATGGTCTTTTTACAAATATTATCTGATATCCTTGCTCTCAACTCAAAAATTAAACAGAATGAAAAAGAGCAACAAAAGAATTATCAGTAGGAAACTAATTTCAGACCCTCCTGCAAAGAAATCGATGAAGTTTCCCCTCTTCTCAAGATCAAGGAGAGGCAAAGTCGGATCATGAGGTGCTACAGGCCTTGCCGCTAAGCATCCCTTGGCCTCTGTCCCTCTTTCCTCCTGCACTGTGGAAGCCTGCTCAGCCCCCTCACCTGCCCTCACCTGCCCTGGGACCATGCAGAGAGTGAAGCCTGCCACTGCCACTGTGTCTTTAGGCACAGTTGAGCGTTTTGGTCTCTTATCTGTAAGAGGGCAGATTTTGTCACATGATATCTTAATAGTTCCCTCAGTCTCTGACACATGGTGCGCTGTGAGAAGAGGCACGGAAGGACACAGCCACGGCCAGCCTTGCTGAGCTCTAGGCTTCTGTTCCAATAGCAAGCACCCCAGCTGTGTTACCAGCTTCCGACATCCCACTGCAGAGCACCCTCTGAACACAACCCGAGTTCGGCTTTCATGGAGGCCCCAACCCTGTCTCTCTGGTCACAGTTCCACCTGTCCTCCTGGCCACATCATCTACCACTTGCAGTTCAGCCAAAGAATTCTTGTCCTCAGATCAGCTCAATTCTGCACCTTCCCCACCTCCCCAGGGAGATTTCCATCACTCCGTGTGTAGCAGTGGAGACTCCCTGCAAACAGCCGTCCCGCGTCCTCCACCCACAGCTGTCCTCTCTCCTTACCAGTTCACCATCAAGGCAGCATCATTCTGAGCAACGAATGGGAGGTCCCCGCCAGCCTCCCACACAGCCATGCAGATCCAGAGCAGCCACGGGGACATGGCTGAGGAGACGTCCCTGGTCTCCCTGGCAGGTAGCGGGAGGAGCTGCAGGGACCTGGCCCCCTGAGGCTGTGGTTCCTCAGCCGGTCCTGGCCATCAAGCCTGGCACCGCTGGGGGAGTGCTTCCCCGGGGCTCCTGCCAGCCTTCCCCGGCTCGGAAAGAGGAAGAAAATCTTCCACCCACAACAGCGCTTGGCAATGTCCTGAGTCTGTCTGGAGAGGCTAAATACTGAAATCCTGATGGAAGTAGCAGTGAGGGGCGAGTGGAGAGTGGCACAGATTGTGAATGGGGATTAGGAAAGCACACAAATCTGCTTTTGCCCAGGAAAAGCATCGGCTAGAGGCTGGGGCTCAAAAAGACTTTTGTATAAAATGACCATTCAGAAACCCACTCATCCTCACCCAAACAATACAAATAAATACTTGAACATGGGAAGGCAGAGATAAGGTGACTACAGGGACCCCTCTGATCCAGGGGCTTTAGGATTTTTGGCGGCTGCTCTGCATTAATATGCCTCTTTGCAGGTGAATACACAATCATGACGGCCCATTTCCATCTGAAGAGGAAGATCGGGTACTTCGTCATCCAGACCTACCTTCCTTGCATAATGACCGTGATCTTGTCGCAGGTGTCCTTTTGGCTGAACCGAGAGTCGGTCCCAGCCAGGACTGTGTTTGGTGAGTGTCCTCAAGCCAATCCCGCCCGCGTGCTGTTGTTCTGTGACTGCTTCTAGCCACCCTAGACAACAGCCTCTAACCTCCAGGGCTGCCAGTCTGTTCTGTGGCCTGGAAAACGAGTGGACCAATAGGGAAGATGCCGTGGTTAAGGAATAGGATTTTGGATTGCTCCCTGAACAACGGTTTAGAGGATGACGCATGGTCAGCTCGAACATAGCTTTCATTTTAAAAAGTCTTTTGCTGGTTAGCCTTCTTTTTGAGGTTTGAAATTGCCAGCAATCTGTCTTATGTGAGCTTGGGCTACAATTCATTTCTCCCAAAGTACCACTTTGTATGTTACCAAGGAGTTTTCTTCGAAATGTGCATGCCACTTTAAAAATGAACCTTCAAGTGGCAGTCAGGAATGATATGTGCTATGATAGTAACCAACTATATATATATATCACAGTGTGTATATGATACACACACATATATGATAAGAATTTAAAATAACATCATTTGTCATCCCCAGAACATAAATTAAGATTAGTGAGATCTAGTTCAGGAAGTACCTTGCACAGCAGACACAGTCGTGCATTTGACTTTTACCTGGAAGCTGTTTTCTCAAATTCCAGTAGTGATACTAAAGGAAGTTTTGCATGTCAGTTGTGGTAATGGATGCTCATGTCTTTCTGAAAAGTATGCTTCATGCCTCAGCTCTTACTACTGAACTTCCCTTGCAAAGAAAGAAACCATGACCTGCATTTTGTGATAACACTACTGTCGTCTCTAGGAAGCCCTGGGGAGGTGGAGGGATGGAGATTCCAAGTGAGTGGCCCTTAGGACCATCTCTCTACATCCAGCCACATGGATAGCCAGCTTCATGTAGTTTTAAGAGTGCTTCAGGGAAGTGTGGAGGTTGGCTCATGGCCAGGCAGTGCTACCCCAGCTCTTTGGGGTAGAAAACAATCTAGTTTGGAAAATAAAGCATATTATAGCTTTTTCCTCTTAGAGATTCCCAAGGCACATTAGGATGTTAACAGACATAAGGAGATGCAAAAGTCATGCCTAGCACACTTCCCCCCAGTACAATGAATAGCTGGATTTCTAAGAAAAATTTAAAATGCCTACCAATTTCTCATTAAGCATTAATTTCATTTGTCTCACTAGAGGGTCTCAGCTCCAGTCAAGTTCACTCTGGATTCAGTGAGACCAAACAATGACAACAGAACATTGTGGGTAAAAGGCCTTATACCCAGCTTTATTCTCATGATGACAGGTCGAGCACTAGAATCACATCCACATCTGGCAAGTTTGCAATCTGTCTCAGTCTCTTTCTCTGGGAAGAACACTGGGTGGAGCACTTTATATAGTAACACAATAATGTCTCATTTCCAGCATGTGTGTGAGCATGGGCCTATACAGTAGGTCGATTACATCATCAGGTAGGTCAGGGTCAGGTGAGCATTCTGGCCATAGGAACTTCCATTTTCCCTACACTCTGCTGCTCCAGGAGTCTCACCTTGCAGTCTACATGCCCTCAGTCTTCTGCAATGGTCTCTGTGCCAGAAAGCTGGAGCATTGTAACCAGATTCCACAAAAGCTACAACAACATACATATAACAACAAAAATTACGATAATAATAGTCATCCTCAAGCCTGAGGAAATTCATTGCCACCAAGTGTTCATTCCAGCTGTATTCAAACCAATTCTACTCAGAGGAGCTCATGACTCGTACTTTCCACAGGAAGCCAGCAGCGAAATTGGTAGGGAGCTACATGTACACCCAGTAAGCAGACATGCTGGCACTTCTTGCTAGGTTGTGTGCCCAATCCACAAAGACATTAGTGGAGATAAACCTCAAGGGTGATAAGACACATGTTTTAATGACACCATGTCAGGGTCCAGGGGTTGCCTTTGAGGTTTTGGGGCAACGCGAAGAACAAAGAAGGCAGCAGGAGTCACTGTGAAGGGTGCTCAAACAGGCCACTTTATTCTGCACAGAGCTGTACTTCTTATACTGCTGTACTGCTAATCATCGTTACAGAAGTGTTTTAAGATGGTGTGTGCATGTGGCCTTCATAGCCAGGCATCTGGCCTTCAAGGCCCTTATCTAGCTCCTTTCCCATGGGTACAACAGGTTTCTCAAGGCCAGACATATCTAGGGTGAAGCAGTGGGCAGCTGTTCTCATAGAACAGTAAGGGAAGTGGGGAGGGCTACCCTACATCCCACTCTTTTCTATAGCACAGCAGCCATCTACTTCTTTCTTGCACACAAAGCAGAGCCTTGTGCCTACAGTCTACAGAAATAATAGAAAGAAGAGCAACAGACAAGGAGGCCGCATGCCTGATGGCCTCTATAGCTAGGGACCACCGCCAAGTGGGACTAAGTTGTGACCACCAAGCAGACAGGGGGCCTTGGGATAAAACTTGTATTTGAGACACTTCATCATCCACTTCCTGGAGCAAAGCTTGTATTTGCTGCTGGTGGTCTGGGGTATAAACACAGCAGTCAACGTGCAGTGAAGCACAGGTGCCCCCTTGTGCAGCTGTGAGTATATCCAGAGCCATTCTGTTTGGTAAAGTCACCTTTTGCATTTGGGTGACTTCGTCTAGCAATAGGGCTAGCGAGGATCTTGTTACATTCAAGGCATGAACAACATGCTGTGCCAGGGCTTCTATTTGTAATTCTACATCTATAGGGCCGGCTCCTGGAAGGAAGATAGCCAGGGGGTAAAACCACCATGCCATTCATTTGGGATGATGCCAACGGGAATATGCAGCATTCTAATTATGTGTGGTATGCGGCAAGGTTTGCAATATCTGTCCTGATATGTAGGGGTGGCTCCACGTACAACAGCCTGTCTAATTTGCAGGGAGACAGGACTAGCCATATTCTCCACATATTTAAATGTTTTCTCCCGGCAGGGGGTCAGTTGGCACAATGCCCAGATGGGTGTGACTGTCCCACCAGCACTTAGGGGTGCGATTAATAATGACATTTGCACACAGTCCTCTGGGTAACCAGCCCACTATGCGACTGGGTATGGAAACCTGCTGTTCAATGCACAGTGGAGCTATAGTTTGCAAGGTTACATGTATATTAGACATCTGTCCTCCCTCAGTATACACGGTACCCTCCTCAGGCAGAGTGTGTGCTAATTGCCGGATCAACTGCTCAGTTGCGCGCCGTTCTGTTTTACCTTCAGCATCACCGCGATTCTTTGCTTGTAGGCATTCCCACGCAGACAGGTTGGCTGGAGCAATTTTCTGAGGCAGTCCAGCAGTGATTTCTGTAGGCAGTTCCATACACATCCAGCAGTGGGAGGCATTATGTACCTGGGCAAAAGTATGGGCCCATGCCACCATACTATTGCTGTCTGTCAACCTGGGCAGAAAGACAGGGCAGACAAAGACACCATCAATGGCAAGTCCTGGTTCTCTGGGAGGATGCAGGCGACCTTGTCGTCTTATGACAAAACAGTGGCTGCCAGGAGTGGTTTCCCTGGTCTGTGATATCAGACCACAGCACCCAAGGACACTGGCAGAGCATCAGGTTCAGCCTTTAACCGAAATTGTGGTATTGGCCACACCCACTGAAGTTCCTGCCAGTATGACTGTTGCCCTCTCTGGCAAGGAGGCAGTCAGTTCAAAAGGCCACTTTCCTGTCCATGGGGTAACTTGTAACCCAAGGGTCAGCCTCTTCCTCCATACCTCACACAAGGCGACTTACAGACGTCCTTCAAACACTAAGGTCTACAGCCGTGTTCATTCTTTGGTACAGCCCGGTGACGTGGGGCAGGAAGGAGCAATGTTTTCTTTCTAGCAACTGTGGCTTCAACTCACTGGGGACTTGCATGTGGACGAGGTACCAACAATTTCTTTACGGGACTTTCCCTAGTTTTCCTTGCTCGCTCATTCAGCAAGCGTACTGCTACAGGTAAGTGCTTCACTCACTGTGTCCATTTTAAATGTTTCAGTCCCTCTGAAACATGGGTACCGACAACAAGGTGGGCAAAAGTGAGCACACTGAGAACATGCTTGCACCGCTTGTTCTGCGCCAGCAAACACCAGCGGAATGTGCCATTTCTGGGCAACTTTACACGTGGTTCTAGGGCCTCCATGCTCTAGTTTTTTATGCAACCATGGCCCCATGTTCATAGGGGGCTTTCTGGAGCACACAAGCCCTGGCCAGGGCATCAGTCACATCATTCCCAGGGCTTAATGCTGGGCGATGTCCTGACACGTGGTATATCAGGGCACCTTCTTTTAACCCATGGGTCCAGAGGTCCTTCCACATCATGTGTCCCAACTGTGTGCAATGGCAGATTTACTAGTCCTGTGCTGCCCACTGAGGCAGTGAGGCCCCGAAACACAGCCCAGCTGTCAGTGCAAACGGTTATTTGACCTGATCCTCTAGTTAAAACAAGCCACATGGCCTGTAATTCAGCCCATTGACTCGATTGCCCTACCCCCGACTCATACCAGAACTCTTCCTGTAAGGGCTGAATGGCAACGGCCACCCGTGTCGGTGGGTGGCCCTTTGCGGATACCAGGCCTCCGCTGGTGGTCTCTGTCCCCTCCTTATAGGGGCTTACTGTTGGCGCTTCCATGCTCGGTAAGGTGGGTGTGGGTTCAACCGCAAAAGTTAATGGTCTCAGGACTTGTAATTCCTGTGAGAGAGGGCTTTTGGAGAATCTAGCCCGTTGTTCTAAGTAGGCTCCCCATTTGGTCAGGGTGGGTGTCTGGGCAACCCCAGTCCAGGGAGCTGTAGTCCAGGCTCACACCCACCCCCTCAATTGGGAGGGCAGTAACCACCTGTACTGCTTGCATTCTGGTGATTCCTTCAGTAGCCAGTAAGGCAGCATACACTGCTGCCAGCTCTTTTTCCAACAGAGAATAGCGAGTCTCAGCTCTCTTCCATAACTGAGACCAAAATCCTGTTGGGACTTTGTGGGCACCATGTTTCTGGCATAATCACCACCCATACCCATCCGTGCTGGCAGACACCATCAGCAGG